CACATGACCTTGCCTCACCTTGGTTTCTCCCTGCAGGCCGAGGCTGCGGCGGTGGGCTTTGTAGTCGAACTTGTAGTAGGTGTGCATGATTCTCCGCAGGTAGACGCGGCAGATCTCCTCTGTGGATCCTTTGTTCTCCAAGTAGGAGAGCAGCCGATCGATGATGCCGCAAACCCGACCTTCATCTTTCAGGTTGTCCACGTACTCTGCACAAGCAGACGGAAAGAGAGAAACAGAAACGTGAATTTATGAAGGAAAACGTTTGTTTTTACAGACACAGCAGCAACAATAGTGGCGTTTTGTACCTTGTGAATGAGGGTCGGTGTTCTGCATGATCTTGGTGAACTCTTCGTCCATCCTCTCCACCAGCGTCAGGACACACCCGCGCACCCTGAAAGGCTGAAGGACACACACACACACACACACACACACACACACACACACACACACACACACACACACACAGAGCGGTTCATGGATTCGTCACATTGCAAACTAAAGAACTAATTAAAGAAATTTAAGGTCTCACCAATGACAGGAAGGAGGAAACAACAAAAAACTGTATTTCCATTACAAAAGTGAGCTAATCTGTGTTTATAATCCATCTAAGGTAACAAAAAAAATTCTCAATTGTTGTATTTTCATTAAATATTTAATTATTGAACAACAACAGACTCTGGTATTCTCTTCCAACCTTTGGGCGTAACTATGGAGTGCAGTAAGGCTAATAGACTCAAACACAAAAACGAAGGACATTATAATTTTAGCACGTTTTACAATGGATGACATAGTTCCAGTTATAGTTTTCCCCCATTAATTACAGTTTTAATTATTTCCATTAGCAAAAATGTTTTCTCAATTTGTTATTTTGTTTATTTTAGTTAACTATAATAACCTGTTTTCTACTGACTTTAATATCCGGGTGTAGATCACACGACTCATAACACAAAAACTTGTCCTTTAAAACCGTTAAAACCTTAAATAAAGAGTTCAGGTCACCTGATCGGAGATGATCAGATTCTCGCTGTCCTCTGCGATGTTTTCCCCGATGAAGATGTCGTTGTGTTCAAACAGGATGTCCAGCAGCTCGTCGATGCAATCCAGGCATTTCTTCCACATGTCGGCCTGAAGAGCAACATGACCACAAAACAAAAACATCCTGAACCTCAAACTCACCGGAACGCTGGAAGAATCTGATCCATTTCGCCTCACAGATCATTTTGAAATGTTTCGGTGACGTCAGATCGTTTAGAAAGCAGAGGCTCACCTTCATGAAGGCTGCCAGGTTGGGGTTGTAATCGTACAGAGAGGCGATGATGTTGAACTTGATCTTGACCAGGATGCCTTGGCCCAGATTATTCTCAGCAGCGATGACTGCCAGAGCGTGGAGCAGCTCGATCTGAGCAGCCCTGTCCGAGGAAAGAACGGCTCATCGTCATCGCTTTAAACAGACCGACGTTAATCTGAGCTGCTCGTCTGTTCAGCGGTTAGACGACATCGTAAATCTACTGGAACTCCAGTTAGTAGAAAATACAAACTGTGAAGGAGCTCAATCAGGTTTTTACAAGATGGAAACTAAAGAAACTCTTGGTTTGTCACAGCTGTTTCCTCCTACCTGTCTGTTCCCTTTTTGCCTCTTGCTTGCAGGATCTCATTGAGTTTCTTCACCACCACAGGAACGTTGATCTCTGTGCCTTTGGCAAACATCTTTGGTTTCTCCTGGTGGACAGAAAACACCAGAACGACGTTAGCGTTAGAGCTCAGTTATATTTGCTTTGTTTTAGAGACACGTCTCTTAAATGTGATCCATTATGCTTATGTTAGGATTAGTCTACGTTCATCACATTCTTTTTCACAAAATCAATCTTAGGTAATTAGATTTCAGTCTGGTCGGTACTGCCCGTTTGAGCTCCTGTCACTTTAAATCCAGTCAAGCTGCTGCTGGCCACGCCCCAACTCAACGTTTACTCTCACACTTGAAAATGACTGCAAGCAGATGTGCAATTATACAACCGTGCATCTTTGAAAAGCAGAAGTGGAGCCTCCTGCACAACCAGCAAGAATGCAGCAAGTGGTTTCTGGATGGTAAGACAACAACATAACTCTGGTTGTTCAGCATAAAATCAGCTGACCAAACATGCTGGAGCTCAGCTTGGGTTGCTAAGTAACGAGTTATGCTCAGGTGTGGTTGCTAGGTAACGGCATAGTGCCTGCTGATTTGTTATGTAACATTACGTAGGTTTTTCAAATGGCTCATTTTCCAGACACCAAAAACACATTAACTTACTGCCTAAAAATGTGCAGGATGTGCGTTTTGATTTTTTAAACCAAAATGGACGGATGAAAACGTGCAAAATGTGAACTTCTACCTTAACCAGAGGGACGCCTCCTTTAACCTTCTCCCAGCCTTCTTCATCTCCTTCGCCCTCCTGCAGATCCCCACCTCGCTCTTTCTTCTGCTTCTTCTTCTTCTCGCCCTTCTTGATGCTGGTTTTGTCGGCCACCCTGAGGACGGTAAACGTTCCCGTTAGCGACCCGTTTGGCTGCAGAGCGATTTGGGCCGACCGTCGGACTCCAGACTTACTTCTTGAGGAAAACAGTGGCCAGAGATTTGCTCTTCCCTTCCTCGTCATCCGAGCTCTCGCTGCCGCTCTCCTCGGTGTCGCCACCCCAGTCTTCATCATCGTCGTCTTCATCACTAGAAGTCGACTCGTCCTGTTGGAAGGAAAACTGACTTTCACATTTGCAATTTGTTTGTAGACTTTTCTCAAAGGAAATTCAAGAACTTTTCAAACATTTTTAAAGTAAGTTTCAAACTTTCCTACTTCGGAAAAAAACCCTAAAACTATTTCAATGCACTCTAATATGATGTCATTTATTACAGCTCCTAATGTGATAGTATTCTATGTTGTAGGTAAACTGAAATAGAACAACATTTTATGTTTTGAAATGCATCTCACACTTCACTGGTTTGAGAACAAAACATTAATTTAACAATAAATTGCCTAATTTTAATAACATTTGTTAACATAAAATATTATCTAACCTTTATTTCAACTGATAAATAAGTCAGTTGAAATAATAATACATACTAATTACATTTAAATAATCCGAACAAATCATGTTAAGGTAAATGACATTAAAACATTTTATAAAGAAAGTTACAAACAATCTCTAAAAAACGTTCTTGGTAACTTTTCTGGAATCAAGCAAACAGAAATCATTTTAGTAATTCTAACTGACCTAAAACAAGAAAAGTTTAGTCTGATTTAACTTCAGTCAGAAAAAACATGTCTGTGTTTTCTTATTAGGTACATGTAAATATCTGGTTTCAACTGTAAATTACATTTTCCAAATTTAGGCTTTTAATCAAACCTTAGATTGACTTTATTGCCAAACTGTGCAGTTTGAGTATCAAGAACTTTCAAGGACTTTACACAGAAATCAACCTTGAAAACGCCAGATTAAAATCCAAACATTTTCAAGGATGTGAAGCGGTCAAACGGCTCGATGCCTCTCACCCCAGAGCCCTTGGCAGACTTGAGGAATTTGCTCGCCTCTGAGGGGCCTTCAGGTTTTTTCTTCAGGAAGGATTTTGCCGACACTTCCTCCCCCACATCATCGTCGTCGTCGTCGCTCTCAGACGAGGAGCCTGGGGAAATAAAAAATAGAGTTTTTGAGAATATCTTAACACTTCTAATTAGGCCTGACATGATGACAAATTTTGCTGGATGCAGAAATTGTTGTGATAAATGATATATTTTTGTTTTGAGACCAGTTTCTAGTAATATAATGGTATAATAATGCAAGAACACATTCTCAAAGATCACAATCTTAAATTCAAGTGAATGTTGACACTGGAACTGGAAGACATTTTAAATATCCAACATAAATAAAGAAAATAACAAATAAAATGAATGATGAAGTCTATGTAAACTAAACTGTCCTTCAATAAAAGGGCTGGTTGAGACCAAAGCACCAAACTGAAAACTTTTGCCATCCAGTTTTTGGTAGAAAAAGAAAAGAAAAATGATGAATTATTATTAAGCTCATTTTAATTAATTGATTTATTGTTTATTACGACAGGCCTGTCTGTAATCCTCAAAAGTGCAAATATTTTTCACTACGAATCTAAGTTACCAAGAACGTTGTTTCTTGAGAACGTGACAGAACCATTACGAACAGAAACGTTTACCAGAATCCTCCTGCTCCTTCTCCTCCTCCTCATCTGCAGACTCTTGTGGGTTCTAAAAAGTGAAAAAAATAGTTTTGTTCCTGTTCAGTTGTTTCTGTTTTTTACACCAACCATTGTTGTTTTTATTTCCACCTTACCTCCTTGTAAGCAGCAATTTCAGTTTCAAAGTCTCGGTTGTATTTGCGGATCTTCTGGCGCAGGGTGCTCAGGGCCTTCGCGTTGTTCTTGTTCATCTTCTTCTTGCCCTCTTTGTCCTCCCAGAGCTTCAAGGAAGAGAACAAACGTTTAATAAAAGGAACGTCTAGCTGTTGTTTGGTATTAATGGAGGCAGCCGACCTGGTTGAGGTAGTCCTCCAGGTCGGCCAGCAGGCGGATGTAGAACTGAGGAACTCCTTCTTTGTCCACTATGTTCTTGCTTTTCAGGAAGGCCCGACACAGCTGCTCGAACTCCTCCAGACACTTGGACATGTCACGGATCTTCATGGCGTTGCGGATCGTCTTTATGAAGTTCGTCAACTCTTCAAACCTGACATTTAAATGGAAATTATTTTTTAATGATGAGCTTGGTGGATGATTTCTGCCATTTTGAGGCTGTTTAAAAGCACACCCACCTTTTGTCTTTGGCGCTACGCACCACTCTTTTAGTATCCTCCTCATCGTCACTAAGAAGCAGTGACCTGTAAAAGAAGCATTATTGTGTGAGACCTCAGCAGACGGATTTGATGCGATGACAAACTGGAAAGAGACACTGACTGCTTGAAGGTCGTCCCGGGCGCTTTAGGGGTGATCTCATCGGCGGATGACGACTCCTCCGACTCGCTGTCAGACCCGGTGGCGAAGAAACGAGACATCGCTGAAGGGAGCTGTCAATCTGAAACGATACGCATTACACATCAGAGAGGTCAGCTGTTGTACTGAACAGTCTAGATTTTTAATTATTTTATGTTGCCTAGACAACACAAAATTTATGTTTACATCTTGTAAACACATTTTGCTGGGCTATAAACTGTCCTAGAAGTTATTGTGATAAATGATAGTACTGTTGCTTTGAGACCATTTTCTAATATAATGGTATAATAATGGAGGAAAACATTCGCAAAGATCAATAAACTTTGAAATCTAATGAATATTTAACACAGGAACTGGAAGATATTTTAAATATCCAAAATAAACAAACAAAATAAATAAAATTAATTATGAAGCCTCTAAACAAAATTGTCCTTCAGAATAAAAGGTAATCTGCTCCACCTGTACATATCCCACAGACATTTTAATTGTTAATTTTCTCCATCACATTAAAACAAAACACAGCCTAGCTTTATTGCCATAAACCGACTTTTGATAAATGCTAAATCAATTTTTTTTTAGAATAAATTGCGTTTCCATACGCAAGTGAGGCAGGACCTACATTAGCAACTAGCTATCCTACATGCTAACAGTCAGTAATGCAACGTATTCTTTAACATATGGAGTAGAGTGAGCTAATTTAGCCAAACATAGATTGTATTTTCGGTTACGTGGTACACATTATCACAAACATCATCTTGTAAATGAATACCACAATTAAATACCAATCAAAGAGCATTTTTATTGATACTGAAGCTCGCCGTTAATGTGGCGCGGCTAGCAAGCTAATGCTATCAGAGACTACGGTGAAAATATTAGGCCTTACGAGTTTCCAGTGAATTAACAGCATCCTTTCAAGCTAGCAAAATACATGACTATTATTGCATTCATGGTCGAACTTACTTATGTCGTTCTGGAAATGTTGTTATCGTGTGTTTGTTCTCGTTGAAAGGTTATAAAATCCAGGTTTGCTGAAATAGGGCCACAGAAAACGTGTGCAGCAACCTCACCGGGCGCTTCGCGACAGGAAAAGGGAGCTTACTGTAGATCTACACAACATAGGGATGGTGCCACTGCAGATCTACATTCTCACCGACAGTGGGCTTTTCTGGGTTATACTGCCACCAAGCGGTAAAGGTTTTTATTAGTTTAGAACGAGGAAAGAATCTCATCTTCACAGTGAACAGTTGGGTAGTAACTAATTACATTTACTCAAATGAGTAACATTTGGGAAAATTTACTTTTAGGGGTATTATTACTTTGAGTTGGGTAGTTTTATTTTGAGGTATCGTATCGATACTCTTATCTGTAGTAAAATTTCTCTACCCATTATGACTTCACTGAATGATAAACAAGCTTGTTTTAACCATAATTTCACCTGACACAAACACACACCTTTAGCTTATTTTTAAAGTTTGATATAAAGACAAACTGATTTGGAAAAATATTTATTTTTCCCGATTTTTATTTTGTAATTAATATAAATTATTAAAAAAATTTCCACATAGCTTTACATTTTGGTCTGTTTATGTAATTTCTAAACATTAAATAGTTGTTTAATCAGTTACTTTAGTAGGTGTTTACCATATACTTTACTCTTGAGTAATTTCTTGTACAGCTACTTTTTACTTTTACTTGAGTAAAAGTATGTTGGAAGTAGTGCTGCTCTTACTTTAATGTCATTTTTTGGTACTCCTCCCATCTCTGGTTACTGTAGTAATCTGCATTTAAGTGGGTGATAAGAAAAGAGAGTCTACTTTCAGCTTAGTGACAAAGAAGTAAAGAAATATAAGGGAGTTGAATTCAGTTTATTTGCATAGAACAAAAATTCTTCCATCCTGTCAACACTTCACTGGTATTCATGTAGCTTTTATACATTCCCATCTTTCGTCCCTCAGAGCCAATCTGGCAGTCATTCTGAAAGGTTTAGTCAATCCGACTGAAAGATATTTTTGCAGCCATTTGGCCGATGCAATACAACAGTCAATTATCACTACAGGATAACAAGGTTCTTCATGATTAATTCCCAGCTGTTTGAGTTTATATCAAGGCAAATGAAGATAATTTTGCCCCAGATACAGTGTTAGAGTGAATGCACAAGAGTTGGTCTAAAAGTCATGGGCGTCTCTCAGCATCGTAAAAAAATAAAGTCAGTATAAAAAAATCAGCAGCATCATTAAAACAACAAGAGCAGAAAGCAGCAACAGCATGTGAAAAAAGTGATAGTAACGGAGTGAAATTATAAAAAAAATAATGTTAATATTGAGGTCATTTCCATTTCCATAGATTTAATTTCTAAGGTAAATTTTAGCTATAAATTATATCACTAATCTTAATTAGTTAGGAATAAGCTTTCAATTGTTAATGTATCGTAGAGCTGAAAAAGCCAACAAAAGTTTGTAGAACAAAACAAAATATATATAAAAAATATTTTTAGGTGAATTACTTATTTGAAAGCATTTCTAAACTAAAAATAAACAGTGCAGATTAAATATTTCTGGTCTTTGTGCAAGCTGCTAGAATTTAAATGTTTATAGTTTCAGTTTTTAAACACAATCGGTCACTTCCTGACAATGGTTCATTACAGGCAGACTGAACTTTCAAGGGTCCCGGTTTACTAGGTCTCTAAGCTAATCCCCCCACACTGGATAATTCACTTTATATGCCCCAAACTCTCTTTAAATTTGACCATCATGAGGCAAAACATAAGTAAAATTTTTAAACCATATTTCAAACATTCATGCTGCATTCCTCTTCCTCGGTTTCTCAGGACAGCGAGGAGTGAAAACATTACGACAGTTTCTTAAATGGCACAATCAACGTCCAAGTAAGCATTTCTGAAAATCTTTAATCTGTTTTTTCATTTCCCATCACAGCTCAGCGCCCTCTGGTGGAGCGATACGTTAACGCTGAGGAGATTCTGACTGAGTTGATCACAGATTAAGTGGTTCTGGTTTCTGCTTCAAACATCTGAACTCATTTATGAATCCAGAGGAAAATAAAATCAGTGGTGTGGGTTTTTTTGTAGTGGTTATGACACATTTCTTCACATGTAGAAGCTTTGATTTATATAGTACATAACCTATACCTAATCATCCCCATACAATCAGAGCATAATACATTTACTATTTTTATATTGTATATATTTTTATAGACTTCAGATATCTACCACTTCAGAACTGATTTAAGGCACCAAAAATAGAGATAGAATAGAAACATGTGTTTTTAGTGGGATAAAGCGTAAAGCTTCTTAGCGCAGTGCTCCAGACGATCCCGGTATTCCAGTTTGGAGTAGTTGCATTTAGGAACCCCTTTGGTGCCGTAGAGAAGACCCCAGCAGCAGCAGGCGATCACCGCTGTGCTGTCGTTGTCACCTGGACAAAACCACAAAGGTATAACGCCATAAAAAACATGTTTAAATCATCCTCATGTCTTCATGTGAAATAATGTAAAATCTGACAGTGTTAGAGGAAGAAACATGCAACAAAATTGGATGAATCAACCTCACTGATTCCAGATTCTACCAGTTTCAGCATGGCCAAAATCAGTTTTGTCCATGTTCAAACAGTCATTTGTGTCCAAGTCTCAAACCTCTGATCCCTGAGCTAATAAAGCCGACTCATGCAACCAAGCAAAGAGTGAACAATACTCTCTTGCAGAGGACTAGAGGTTTAAAATCTGTTTAATTGACTCCTTTAAAGCTGGTATTAATACACAAAAGAGACGTTTCTTGTTTGAACCTCTGACCTCCATGGAAAGCAGCTCTGTTCATCAGCTCCTCCCAGTCTGAACCGGCGCCCAGTAAGGCATCCAGTGCTATCATGGGAGCATCGTGGCCACAGGATCCCCCCCAGCCAGACAGACTGAAGCTCGTATAGGCCTTATCCCTCTCAGCCACACCGTAGGGGTCGGGCCAGGTCACCGGCCCCTTTCCGTCAGAGATTCCCCGCAGATCCAGGTACCTGAGGTCAGAGGAAAAAGCTCACTGATGTTTACAACCCAGTTAAGAATCAATTATATTCAAACATGGGATGCAAATTATGGATTAATCTCATCTACTTCATAAGCAGCCATTTTATCTTGTTTTCTCGAGTATCAAGTTCGACCATTTTTCCATAATGGCTCGATTTTTCATAATATACAGATTTTTTTTTAAAGAAACATATCATTATAGATTAGTAATTTTGCCAGCTTTATTCCATACTGACCGAATAAACAGAAAATTATTAAACTTAAACATATTTATAAAACGTAGCAAAACAAGAACCTCTTAGATTACTGAATAGAAAAATAAAAAGGTTAAAATTAAATATTTGAAACATTTAATGCCCCACAGTGAGACATTTTAATGACTTTTTCCATCACGATACAATTTTTCTGCCTAATACCTTAAGCTTTTCTGTCATTGTACGCCTTAGCAGCAAAATAACTTTTTAATGAGACGTTGCTGCTGTCCCGTTGTGCAGCTCGGCTTAATAAGCGCCATTAAGGAGAAACTTGATTAGTTTGTCCGGTATTTATATTTCTAAACAACTTAAGGAGCCTGTCAATAGTTTATATTTCAGAAAAGAACTGAATAAAGTGCATTTTACATGCCACACCGGACTCTGTTCGGACCGTTTCTCTAATGTCCTAGTATGCCTCCGCCATCTTGTACCAGCTCCGCTTAAAGATGACCAGCGGCGCCCTCTGTTGGATGGCGGTAAAACTACAACACTGAGTCGTATGGAACGAGTTTTAATCTAATCGTAATTGAATCGAACATCAGCACAGCCTCATAACAATATAAAACTGAATTCAGCAGCTTGTACCGCTTCCAGTGCTTGGAGAAGGAGTCCCAATCCTTCAGATTCTCCTCCACAGCGAAGCCGCTGTCTGTAATAACCTTCTTGGCTATGGGACAGGCCTCTTCCAGCAGACCCACACCCCAGGATTCAAGCGGCCGCCGCTGGATGGCGTAGGAGGCGAAAAGCGCCGACGCAACGGATCCCAGGAAACCGATTGGGTGATGGTGAGTCATCCTGCCCGTCTCCACGGCGACAAACACCAGAGAAGGAAGCTGGCCAGGGTTTGGATACCTGGAGCGTAAAATAAAGCAGAATCGCGGTTTATTGGTGAGGATATGTCACAGATCTCAAAAGTGAACCTAAAAGTGTTGTGAAATCGCTCCAGTGTGACTTCAAAAACAAACTGGTTCTGTGATTCAACGACAGACACGCATTGTTTTTACACTTTTTCCACAGTAAAATTCAATCACTTTTCAAGCATTTTCAAGACAAGTTTTAAATCTTTTCCAGCAGCATTTTGAAGATAAAAAACACAAATGAGCCAAAAAATGACAGATTTAATTCACCGTTAATAATATTCTACAGCAAGGACAAGGTAAACTAAAATATAGTTCTGTTCTGGTCCGAGACCAAAACACTAAATTTAATTTTAAAAATCCTGCAATTTCAATAATGTTGTTTAACATATAAATATAAACCAATCTTTATTTCAGTTACAGTGATCAATAAGTCATTGTAGGAATAATTAATTACACTGAAAGAATCCAAACAGACTGTGTTTAGGTAAATGACAACAGACAAAGAGAGTCAAAAAAAAAAATTCTCACTACGTTTTCTGGGATTTAGCAAATAGAAACAATTTTGGAAATTATAATTGACATAATACAGAGAGGTCTAATTTAATTTACACACAGAAAATAAATGTGTCTTCTTATTAGGTGTATGAACATATCTGGTTTCAACTGTAAATTATGTTTTCCAAATGAAAGCTTTTAAACAAACATTTGTTTGCACTTTATTGTAAAACTGTGCAGTTTGAATATCAAACACTTTCAAAGACTTTATACAGAAATAATAATAAAAAAAAACACCTAACAGAAATCCAAGCCTTTTCAAGGATAGGAAATTACTTTTCTTGTACAATTCTGCTTCCTGAAACCTGAAATATTTTGTCAAAACCAGACATCCACTTTCCTAATTATCCTGTGTTGGAAGACTTTAGAGACACAAACTCTTTAAAGCCCAAAGGTCCTGGAGGTTTGTCTTACCTCAGGCCGATGCACATGGCCCTCATGGCCGCTCCACAGCCGGCACCCCGGCTGTTATACGGCACTCTGCAGCCCCCTTTCTGTCCAGGCTTCAGTCTGTCAACATCTAAGAGTATATTCACTTCTAAATATCTCTGCTACAAGTGGACATGATATAATTTAATGATTAAAACCTACTAAAAACGGTTGTATGTCCAGGAGCTCTTCCACTCATGTCTTTCATCCCCTTCACATAACAAAACGCCACTTCATCCAGAAGCTGCTCCTCGGTCTTTCCTGCACGGAACACAAACGTTTGCTCAATTTAAAGTCAGAAGAGGTGAACTATTATGCTTAGGATAGGTCTGTGAGCTATGCAAAACAGGTTCACTACATTTTTTACACAAAATCATTCTTGGATAATTTGATTTTAGTCTCCTCACTTCTGCCTATTTTAAGCTCCTTTCAGAAGGAGCTGATCTAATGCCTCTTGTCACTATACATCCAAAAAAGCTGATGCTGGTCACACTGCCAAACTCAATGTTTACATTTGCATGTGAAAATGGCTGCAAACAGATGTGCAGCCAACTGTGCATCCTTGAAAAGCAGAAGTAGAGCCTCCTACACAACCAACAAGAATGCAGCAAGTGGTTTCTAGATGGTAAGCCAACAACAAAACAATTGTCTTTTCCATCATACAGTGGTAAAACCAGCTAATCAAAGGTGCTGGAGCTCAGTTTGGGTTGCTAGGTGACGACTGGAACTCTGTGAGGGTTGCTAGGTAACGGTGCAGTGCACCTCAAATATGACATTCCATTCGGGCGATTTCTGAAGTGACTCATTTTCCAGACACCAAAAACATGAACTTATTGCAACAAAAACAACTGAGTATTTAAAAATAAAGTATAAACGCATTAAAAATGTACATTTTGCATAGTAGGTTCCCTTTAAAAAAATTTAATTATCTGCACACGAAGTCAATATTATCAGAGAAAAGTTCAATTTCCAGTATCCATTGTTCTGTTATACAGAGTTAATAGGACAGAAAATCAAGGCAAAAGTTAAATTAGATTTGGCTGGAGATCTAGAAGAAGGTGGGGTGCAGTCAGCAAAATAACATATTTGACTGGGTTTTCTGATAACTCGCCTGTTATCAGAGCTTCAGCTGTTGCAAGATGCAGAACTGTGTCGTCGCTCACCGGCCATTCAGGAAGCTGGACAGTGATTTTTTTCAACCCACCAAGCTCCTGCAGCTCCTAAAGATGAGGAAAAATAATCAAAAACACCTGTCATCTACTTCCTGAAGTATTTTATGATTCACTTGCCACAACTCAAAATTAAACGATGTATTTTTCTGAATTTTCCAGGTTTACATCCAGTTTGAATGTCAAGGTTTCTGGTTTGGGAACCTCAGGATCTCAGCTGTGCTTTTCATAAATCAAATCCTGACCATCCTCTTCATAAGACCGTCTTGGGAAAGCACAACATTTTCAGTCAGAGTCTTCTTCAGATTCAGTGTAGTGCAGACCACTGCAGAGTTATAATTTAAATATAATTATAACTCTTTGAAGAACCTAAATTAATGAGTTACAACAACATTTAATTTCCTTTCTGGATTAATAAAGTATTTTTGAATTTTGAAGTGATGGAATTTTGTTGGCCATGAGTGCGAATATTTTCTAGAAAATTTTGGAGATTAATCTGAACATTTTAGAGTATTTCAAGCTAATTTTTGGAGTTCAGAAGTTTCTCTCTCCTTTTTAAAAAATATTTTCTGAAATGAATCTCAGAATTTTTAGTTTTTGGTGGAGATTTAGTCTTTTTTTTCTTATCTACAGTGACCCTAAAACCCCGTCGTGCACATCGCTCCTCAAACTCAACCGTCCCCTTTCCTCCATCACGCTACATGTTTTCTGTATCCTCCGCTTTTCTGTCGTCACAACCTCGCCTTCTGAGCACATCAGTAATTTTTGAAGTTGGCGTTGCTTCGTCAAGCAGATCGACTGAATGAGGCTATTAATGTGGTTACTTAAGGAGTTTATCGGTGTTTATATTTAAAAACAGAACCGCATAAAGATTCCCAAACTGAACAATCCTCCCGGTATGGCCGNAAAACAAGAACCTCTTAGATTACTGAATAGAAAAATAAAAAGGTTAAAATTAAATATTTGAAACATTTAATGCCCCACAGTGAGACATTTTAATGACTTTTTCCATCACGATACAATTTTTCTGCCTAATACCTTAAGCTTTTCTGTCATTGTACGCCTTAGCAGCAAAATAACTTTTTAATGAGACGTTGCTGCTGTCCCGTTGTGCAGCTCGGCTTAATAAGCGCCATTAAGGAGAAACTTGATTAGTTTGTCCGGTATTTATATTTCTAAACAACTTAAGGAGCCTGTCAATAGTTTATATTTCAGAAAAGAACTGAATAAAGTGCATTTTACATGCCACACCGGACTCTGTTCGGACCGTTTCTCTAATGTCCTAGTATGCCTCCGCCATCTTGTACCAGCTCCGCTTAAAGATGACCAGCGGCGCCCTCTGTTGGATGGCGGTAAAACTACAACACTGAGTCGTATGGAACGAGTTTTAATCTAATCGTAATTGAATCGAACATCAGCACAGCCTCATAACAATATAAAACTGAATTCAGCAGCTTGTACCGCTTCCAGTGCTTGGAGAAGGAGTCCCAATCCTTCAGATTCTCCTCCACAGCGAAGCCGCTGTCTGTAATAACCTTCTTGGCTATGGGACAGGCCTCTTCCAGCAGACCCACACCCCAGGATTCAAGCGGCCGCCGCTGGATGGCGTAGGAGGCGAAAAGCGCCGACGCAACGGATCCCAGGAAACCGATTGGGTGATGGTGAGTCATCCTGCCCGTCTCCACGGCGACAAACACCAGAGAAGGAAGCTGGCCAGGGTTTGGATACCTGGAGCGTAAAATAAAGCAGAATCGCGGTTTATTGGTGAGGATATGTCACAGATCTCAAAAGTGAACCTAAAAGTGTTGTGAAATCGCTCCAGTGTGACTTCAAAAACAAACTGGTTCTGTGATTCAACGACAGACACGCATTGTTTTTACACTTTTTCCACAGTAAAATTCAATCACTTTTCAAGCATTTTCAAGACAAGTTTTAAATCTTTTCCAGCAGCATTTTGAAGATAAAAAACACAAATGAGCCAAAAAATGACAGATTTAATTCACCGTTAATAATATTCTACAGCAAGGACAAGGTAAACTAAAATATAGTTCTGTTCTGGTCCGAGACCAAAACACTAAATTTAATTTTAAAAATCCTGCAATTTCAATAATGTTGTTTAACATATAAATATAAACCAATCTTTATTTCAGTTACAGTGATCAATAAGTCATTGTAGGAATAATTAATTACACTGAAAGAATCCAAACAGACTGTGTTTAGGTAAATGACAACAGACAAAGAGAGTCAAAAAAAAAAATTCTCACTACGTTTTCTGGGATTTAGCAAATAGAAACAATTTTGGAAATTATAATTGACATAATACAGAGAGGTCTAATTTAATTTACACACAGAAAATAAATGTGTCTTCTTATTAGGTGTATGAACATATCTGGTTTCAACTGTAAATTATGTTTTCCAAATGAAAGCTTTTAAACAAACATTTGTTTGCACTTTATTGTAAAACTGTGCAGTTTGAATATCAAACACTTTCAAAGACTTTATACAGAAATAATAATAAAAAAAAACACCTAACAGAAATCCAAGCCTTTTCAAGGATAGGAAATTACTTTTCTTGTACAATTCTGCTTCCTGAAACCTGAAATATTTTGTCAAAACCAGACATCCACTTTCCTAATTATCCTGTGTTGGAAGACTTTAGAGACACAAACTCTTTAAAGCCCAAAGGTCCTGGAGGTTTGTCTTACCTCAGGCCGATGCACATGGCCCTCATGGCCGCTCCACAGCCGGCACCCCGGCTGTTATACGGCACTCTGCAGCCCCCTTTCTGTCCAGGCTTCAGTCTGTCAACATCTAAGAGTATATTCACTTCTAAATATCTCTGCTACAAGTGGACATGATATAATTTAATGATTAAAACCTACTAAAAACGGTTGTATGTCCAGGAGCTCTTCCACTCATGTCTTTCATCCCCTTCACATAACAAAACGCCACTTCATCCAGAAGCTGCTCCTCGGTCTTTCCTGCACGGAACACAAACGTTTGCTCAATTTAAAGTCAGAAGAGGTGAACTATTATGCTTAGGATAGGTCTGTGAGCTATGCAAAACAGGTTCACTACATTTTTTACACAAAATCATTCTTGGATAATTTGATTTTAGTCTCCTCACTTCTGCCTATTTTAAGCTCCTTTCAGAAGGAGCTGATCTAATGCCTCTTGTCACTATACATCCAAAAAAGCTGATGCTGGTCACACTGCCAAACTCAATGTTTACATTTGCATGTGAAAATGGCTGCAAACAGATGTGCAGCCAACTGTGCATCCTTGAAAAGCAGAAGTAGAGCCTCCTACACAACCAACAAGAATGCAGCAAGTGGTTTCTAGATGGTAAGCCAACAACAAAACAATTGTCTTTTCCATCATACAGTGGTAAAACCAGCTAATCAAAGGTGCTGGAGCTCAGTTTGGGTTGCTAGGTGACGACTGGAACTCTGTGAGGGTTGCTAGGTAACGGTGCAGTGCACCTCAAATATGACATTCCATTCGGGCGATTTCTGAAGTGACTCATTTTCCAGACACCAAAAACATGAACTTATTGCAACAAAAACAACTGAGTATTTAAAAATAAAGTATAAACGCATTAAAAATGTACATTTTGCATAGTAGGTTCCCTTTAAAAAAATTTAATTATCTGCACACGAAGTCAATATTATCAGAGAAAAGTTCAATTTCCAGTATCCATTGTTCTGTTATACAGAGTTAATAGGACAGAAAATCAAGGCAAAAGTTAAATTAGATTTGGCTGGAGATCTAGAAGAAGGTGGGGTGCAGTCAGCAAAATAACATATTTGACTGGGTTTTCTGATAACTCGCCTGTTATCAGAGCTTCAGCTGTTGCAAGATGCAGAACTGTGTCGTCGCTCACCGGCCATTCAGGAAGCTGGACAGTGATTTTTTTCAACCCACCAAGCTCCTGCAGCTCCTAAAGATGAGGAAAAATAATCAAAAACACCTGTCATCTACTTCCTGAAGTATTTTATGATTCACTTGCCACAACTCAAAATTAAACGATGTATTTTTCTGAATTTTCCAGGTTTACATCCAGTTTGAATGTCAAGGTTTCTGGTTTGGGAACCTCAGGATCTCAGCTGTGCTTTTCATAAATCAAATCCTGACCATCCTCTTCATAAGACCGTCTTGGGAAAGCACAACATTTTCAGTCAGAGTCTTCTTCAGATTCAGTGTAGTGCAGACCACTGCAGAGTTATAATTTAAATATAATTATAACTCTTTGAAGAACCTAAATTAATGAGTTACAACAACATTTAATTTCCTTTCTGGATTAATAAAGTATTTTTGAATTTTGAAGTGATGGAATTTTGTTGGCCATGAGTGCGAATATTTTCTAGAAAATTTTGGAGATTAATCTGAACATTTTAGAGTATTTCAAGCTAATTTTTGGAGTTCAGAAGTTTCTCTCTCCTTTTTAAAAAATATTTTCTGAAATGAATCTCAGAATTTTTAGTTTTTGGTGGAGATTTAGTCTTTTTTTTCTTATCTACAGTGACCCTAAAACCCCGTCGTGCACATCGCTCCTCAAACTCAACCGTCCCCTTTCCTCCATCACGCTACATGTTTTCTGTATCCTCCGCTTTTCTGTCGTCACAACCTCGCCTTCTGAGCACATCAGTAATTTTTGAAGTTGGCGTTGCTTCGTCAAGCAGATCGACTGAATGAGGCTATTAATGTGGTTACTTAAGGAGTTTATCGGTGTTTATATTTAAAAACAGAACCGCATAAAGATTCCCAAACTGAACAATCCTCCCGGTATGGCCGACATCTTTGATTCTGCATTAATGGCTCCGCTCAATTAAGGATGGCCAGCGGCGCCCTCTGCTGGATGGCGGCCAAACTACAACACTAAAAACAGGCGTAAGAGGTGTTAATAGTAATTTTGAAAGTAATTTTAACCTAATAAGCATTAATCCACAATTAACTGAAAGTAACATGCCATCCGTACCTAAAACCATTAGGCTGGTGGTTATAATGGTTCACTGACCTGGTGAATGTCTGGTCCAACATAATTAAACTCCCAGGTCCCGCCCCTATAGCCCAGAGCATCACCGGCACCACTGAGCACCATGCCTGCCTTATAATGCTCCACTGTAACAGCTTCAAGTCTGCAAACACAAAAAGATTAAACACTCCAGGTTATATTTCAGGTGGGCTGCTGGACCATAAATGTGACACGTGACACCAGAGGAGCACAATTATTCAGGACTGTTTCTTGTTTTATTTACAGATTCACACCAATGGTCAGTCTATGATTTATGAAAGCTTAAATTCATTTGTGAATCTTCAATAAAACTCGATAGAGGGCAATTCCCAAATCGGAAGCCAACTTCAGGTTCGTTTAGTGCAGTAGAGACTTGCCATCCTCAAAATTATCCTCATAAAAAACTTTTTTTTGTCTGAAAGCCTTCAAATTAAATATTGATTCAGCAATATTTAATTTGAAGTCAATCTGACCACAGTAGATATCCAAACAAATTGTCCTTGAGTAAAGGTACCAATACTTTGGCTTATTTTCACATAAGTAAAATTAAAAAGTAGTAGTCCAAGAAGTTAAAGTAAAAGTTAGAAAGAAACTGCTCAGGTAATAACTGTTTTACCTGATTTAATATTTAGAAATTATGTCTTCAGACTGAAAAAGGTAGAAATGTGCTTGCAAATTGTCATTTGTTTTTCAAATAAATGTTTATTGAAATAAATTACTTATTTATTTGAACAACTGTTGAGGAAGAAATTCTAAATTGGTTAACTTTGGAAAAAGTTTGGCTCTCTCTTCCTCTGGATCCCAGGTCCTCTCAGCGAGCCACTTGTGGTCACAAGGAAAACAATGCGTGTTGACGTCACAGAATTACAGAGTTTAATCCAATATAAGACAATGCATAAACTTGCACCAGAAACTGCAGAACAACGGAGACATGCATTCATTTACCTGACATAAATGGAAAGAAGGAAAGAAAGAAAAGCAAAGACATCTTTGGAGAGTTGCAAGAGCAAATCTGATTTGTTACTTCTGTGTAGAAAGTTTTATAGTAAAGGCGTATTCTTATCTTTAATTTATTCAAATAAGGCGTATCTTTGCTCATCCAACCAGGAGCTATCTCTGACCCTCTATCTGAAGCCTGAAACCCCTGCCGTGTTTACGGCCTTTCACAGACGAGTGTGAAAAGCAACAACTTCTACTGTATTGTTTTCCCACACAGACAAAAGGCAGTTCAAACGATCCTAGCAAACCATCTGCTGTAACTACAGGTAAATTAAAGGTCAAAAAGTCAGAATACATTACTAATTTGAAAACCACAATCAGGCCATTTGAATCGAGACATGTTAAGTTTTAAAACTAGCTTAAATTTATTTTCTCAACACAACGCAAATAATACAATTGTGAAATAACTAAATGGCATTTGTACATAAAACTTCCAAGAGACAGTGAGACTATAAATACTTTTTTTGGCGTGCTTTTGTTTACATTTTGTTTTTCACAGAGGAGCATTGAAACCCTTACCTCACCAGTTTCTAAATCCGCCGCTGGGTGAATTTATTCAATATTTTCTGCACTTCCAGCTTAGGGTTTAAAATAAATCAGCCACAAGTTACAATATGTTTCACTTTTCCGCACGATTGTGTCTTTTATGAATATACAGACAGCCTAATCAATTAAAATCAAAGTACAGCATATTGTTGTTGCAACCGTTACACTTTTTACACCCTGACCCCTAGGCGATTATTGCTCGTTGCGCTTAAAGAAGAATCCTACCCTTTTAAAATTATTTTAGATGGACTAAATACAATACGATTGGTTTTAAACCACGCTTTATTTTGGATGCATTCACATCGGAAGATTATGTTAACCATTGCCCGACAATGGGGAAGTTAAACCTTCAAGTACAAAAACATTTACTCCGCGGCCATATTTCCTCACTAATGTAAAACTCTTACCCGTCCATTGCCGAAAATGGTTCCTTAAAATGAGGTAGCACTTCCTCCTTCTCCATGCCGTTTCTTCATCGACGTTTATTTTGGTGGTTCTCAACAATGTGGTGCATTACCGCCACCAACCGGTTAGGAGTACGGACCGGAATGATGCTTGAACCAAACAAACGAAATAATTAAATAAAAAATAAATAAAATTGAACCCTCATATAATTTAATGCAAGTACATTCACTTTAGAAACTAAAATTAAATTAAAAATGTTAAAATCTGCAACAGAACATCTATTGTATTCAGAGTTTAAGAAAACTCTAAGTACTACACCTTGATGCTGATTTTTTTTAAGAGGTTCAAATTAATATGAAGTAGATGCTTTTGAAATCTGCAAGACAACTCAAACAAATAATCACCTATTTTTAACATCCCAAATTTTTATTTATAAATAATTCTCTACACTGCATCTAGAGAAATAAATAATTCAGACTTAGCTTATACGATTCCAGTGACGGAAAAATATATTTATTGATGTAAATTAAATTAAAAAAATATATATTTCTCATTAATCAAAACAAAAAAGAAAAAAAAGAAACAAGAACTTTCAAACCTGAAAAAATGCTCTTTATTTTTTAAATTAGCAGTTTCTAATTTCCATAAATACAAAAAAGTCTGTGTTGGCCTAATTCTGCAAGTATGTACTGTTCTTTCCTCTGAAGTCAATACTTTAGTGTTGATATTACATGGAAGATTATTTTGAGTTTTCAAAAAATAAAGATCACCAGCACAATGTTATAGATCAATATTCAGTTTAAGAAGTAAAAGTTGCAGATGCCCAACTTCACTTACAAGAAAAAATTAAGACTTTGTAAATCCTTAAACTGTTTAAAAAACAATCATCATGTCTTTCAGTTAATCATAGAAATATATTCGTTTATTTTATAAATCCACATTTAATCAAAAGCAACAGAAAGTTTAAGAACTTTAATTATTTTTTTAAAACTATGGAAATCTTCAGCCGTTCAGTGGTATTTTATGCTTGCGAAGCACTGTAGGGAAAAAATAAATAAAAACATATTAACATTTAAAACAAATGAGTAATTAACATTGTTGATTATTAACTTAGAAAAATGTTTTAAATCTCCCACAGGGTTAATATAAAATACAGAGTAAAATGACGTTACCTTCCTTTAACCTTTCTACTTCTTGCAACAGATGTTCACATTTGGCACAACCTGGAGTCAAGAGAAAGGAGACGAAATAAAAAATATTTTTCTGTCAGAAAATTCCTCACATTAATGAAGTTGGAGTAGTGATTTAGTAGAGGATGCTGACAATTAGATTTTTAGGAAAATTCAGTTTCCACACATTATTCAAATTAGTTAAACTTTCCAGAATCAACTTTTCAGAGTTCTCAGTATATCGTAGGAGACACATGATCAATATCAATTGATAAGCCTGATATAATACTCAATAATTTTGCTGAACTAAAATCCATGCAAAGCATTCTGGGAGATGTAGGCAGAGGAAGCTGCTCAACCTCTGACTGTATTATTACTGTTTGAGAGGTTTTTTTTATTTCAGGTTTCTTCTGTAAACAAGACCCAAGATCTCAGTGAGACAACCTGAATACATAAAAGTGAAATAAAACAAAAATATCTGGTTTTATTGTACAGTATTTGCTTCACCATCACCAGGTGACATTAAGAAACCTGAAATGAAATCCAAACAGAAATGTTCACATTCTTCATATGGTTTACATGGAGTGAACATGTGACAACCAGGAGTTATCCATAAATAAATTAAATTATATTTTGGTCTTCTTACCCTGGCTTTGCGGTTTAACATGGTTAGCTCTGGGATTGGCAGCCGGCAGTTTTAAGCCCTTCCCCCTGCTGATATCATATGATGCTGCTGTTTTAGCAGCTGCAGCATCTGAAAGTTGGAGAAGAGAAACGGCTCAGATTGTTAAATCTACTCCGTTGCTGCTTGTTATGCATCAGAACCAAGTTACCGACCAGTTCTGGAGGATTCATCAGGGGCAGATCTGTGGCTGGCTGTTGGCTGTTTCCCTGGTTTTACCCCGCTGGTGGCGGCGCCGACGGATGCGGGAGCTTCAGTTGTGCTGGCATCTAAAAGGATTAGTGAGAATAACTTTTACTCATTTATCAGCTTCAGTTCTTCAGTGAGGATGTGGAAATTAGTTTCCCTAAAAACTATAATCAAGATTTGTGAATACAAGATTTTTTTTTCCTTTTTTCTTTTTGGCAGTTTCTTTGCACCAAAAATATGGAACAAACTTCCGGAAAATTGTAAAACAGCCGAAACACTGAGTTCCTTTAAATCAAGACTGAAACAGCGAGAATAAATGTTACTTATTGTTGTGTTGACAAACTAGTTCAATGCACTTTAAAAATAGGAATAACCTTTTATTTGTTAAAGATGGTGCAACACATTTTTATTTAAATTTGTGTAAACACCAAGTGTGACACTTTTACACATTTGCATAAATATCACAACGTGCTGCAGCTTTACTTCCATATTTACCCGTTTTCTTCCTCTTTGACACAGGCAAAGCGTCTCCTTTAGCCAAAGGATGCCTCTTTCCTGGTGCCATCTTCGTGACAGAGTTGGCAGCTAAATGAAGAATAAACAGACTAATTAGACAGGAAACAAACTGCAATAGTGAGTTCTCAGTGTTTCATATGCATTCAGAGGGCTGGCTGGAACGGTTAATTGAATTAATTGTGATTAATCAATTACTGAAATAATCGTCAACTAATTTAGCAAACGATTAATCTCTAACTGGAGTCTAAACCCCCCATAAAAAGTTAATAGCTAAAAAAACAAAACATATTCAGAGCAGTAATTAAGCCAAAAGGACAAAAAATATAAATACATTTTGCATAAAGGTGTAAAAACAGCTTCGTTTGTCAAAATTCTTTACCAAAAACTCACCAGGTTGGATTGTTTTAGCTTCATCTGGCTCAAATTCACTAAAGGAGCGCTTTATATTATTAAATTTTAGGCAATAAATGTCTATTTTCTTACTAAAAAAAATAATTGATTTATTTGCATTTTTAATGTACTTCTAATATTGTATAAAAAAAAGCTTAAGAGGTTAAATGAAAAATGTTTTTTATCTGATTGTCAGAATAATGCATAGAATAATCAATTTCTAAAATAATCTTTAATATTTAGAACCTCTGCCACTAACACTATGAAAACCAATTTTTGTACATTTAGAATGAAAGTTGGTATTTGGGTAAAATATAAAATATCTTAAAGAAAAAAGAAGCAAAAACATTCAAAAAACAACTAATGCGAGTCTTTAGTTCTGATGTATTTTCACATTAGTTCACTTGGTGGTGATAGTTTATAAATCAGGAGAAAATGGTCCAATTCTGATTACAAACTAATCAACTGGTGCATCAGTGTAAAAAAAACCTGCAAGCAAATAAAACAAAACAAAGGCATTAAAATCCTTATAAATCCAAAGGTTGATTAGAAAAGTCGCAGGTTTCTTTACCTGGCGTCAGTCTGCTGGGTATTTATGTTTGAGTTTTAAACAAAGAGAAGCATGCATCCTGACCAGGTGTGAACAAACCTGCAGGTCCACTTGGTTTCTCTGTGCTGGAGCAGGGAGCTGCTCTCAGACTCAGTGTAGCCCTTGGCAAGCCAACGGGAATGCCGCTCACCTGAGGTCTCTGCAAGCCAGAGGGGGGCAGCAGCTTGGAGGCTGCAAATGGAGCAGAGGAACATTTTCAAAAATACACAAAAATGTGTAATTTTTTGCACATTTGGTCACATTGAACCCAAAAACATCCGTGTATTTTATTGGAAAGTTATGGACTGAGACAACGTGGAATATAATTGTAAAGGAGAATGAAGACAGTGCTTTCTACATTACATTTTTAAATAGCAATCCTAAACATGTAGTGCATATTTATATTCAAATTAAATTAATAAAATATGGTGCAACTATTACCTTCAGAGAGCCAGAAATTAGTAAAAAAGTAAATAATTTTAAATGGTTTAAATAATGTAATTTCAAAGTGCTCTATGAAAAGTAGCAACATTAATCGCAGTTTATTTTCTTCCTTAAGTGCCTAGTGGATCTAATTAGCAACATACCTAAATTTACACTGATGGCATCTGTCACAATAAACAATTAATTAATTGCTTGATAACTTAACAAGCTTGATAATTTCCATGCTAATGATAAATATTTTTGAAGGGAAATTTTGTTTACGCCGACATCATAATCCATTTTATTTAAGGTTTTGGTTGTGTGTGTTTCTTAATGTTATTTTTATTCAATGTTTTTGGTTGTTGTATTTCATTAGTGGTATTTAAAATGTCTTCCAGTTCCAGTGTGAAGTGTTCCGCACAAAATAAAAGTTTATTAGTCTTTCAGAGGGCGAACTTACATTATTTTACTTAAAAATGGTCTCTCAACTACAATATTTTGGCTTATTACAATAATTTCTGGGACAATTTATCAGCCAGCAAAATCTGTTAGGGCAATGACAGCCTGCTTTATAGAACAATGTATTACTGTAAATGCATAAGAATAGGGGGGTAAAAGCAAATCAGATGTTGGTTGAATAAAATATTCAATCTGCAGAAGAATTTCTGAAAACGAAGCATCACTGCTCACCTAAAGATCGCAGGTTGTACGAACTTGAGTTTTTCTGGAATACAAAGGATCACAGACATATAAAGATACAACCATAAAGTTAAGTAAAATGATCAGATCAAAAGCAACAAAATTGCTTTATAAACTCAGCAGCACCCAATGTTTTTACCTCCTGTTCCTTTGGAGCAGCAGAACTTTTCGCAGCCTCCCCATCGGGTCTCTGTCGTTTCACCAGCAGGCCTGTTGCCGCCGCTGGTGGATTACGTTTCAACAACTCTGAGGCAATTTTGGAGGCAGGGTAGGGGATTTTAGCTGTGGGCTGCTTGAAGAATGTTTTACGATCACCAATGATGTTTGACGGTTTGATGGTGTTTGACAGCTCTATAGGTGTTTTCCCATAAAGTTTTTTCTGCGCTGTTGGGATGTGGCCTGCCTCTCTCTTTGTCTCAGAGGGGAACAGTTTAATGCCCACCATTGGTGTAGAAGTTGCCAAGCACTGAGGTCTTAAATCCAAACTCTCATCAAAATCGGAAAGACCTGATTGTGAAAGATATATGGATGCATTGGCTGGCTGTAGAGGAGCTTCAAATGTCATGTTTGGGATTCCATCCTTCTTGGTTTCTGGTTCTGCAGCTTCAAATGTCATGCTTGGGCTTCCATCCTTCTTGGTTTCTGGTTCTGCAGCTTCAAATGTCATGCTTGGGCTTCCATCCTTCTTGGTTTCTGGCTCTGCAGCTTCAAATGTCATGCTTGGGCTTCCATCCTTCTTGGTTTCTGGC